CTATGAGACTTTCCTACACCCATGTGAGTAGGACCCTAAAGGATCACTATTAAATTTTGACACAAGTATCTAGAAAAGTTATCACATGGGTGTGTCACTTGGGTGAATGGATTTATTGATAACGTTTCTAGAGATCTGTATCAAAATTTAATGATGATCCTAGGGTCCTACTCATACGGGTGTAGGAGGGTCTCATAGTATCATTACTTATATATATATATATATATATATAGAAAATGCTTAGATTAACCCACTAGTTCATATGAACATATGTGTTTATATGAGCCCAACAGCTCATATTGAATCTGAACCGATCTGATCGTCACGACTTCATTTCGTATTTGATTATTAATTTTTTCTACAAATTCAAATAATTTGAAATTTTAAGCATGTATTCTTAAAAAATAAAAGAATCTAATAAAAATATCAAAAAAATAATTTACAAAAAATAGATTGATCAAAATACCCTTGAAATGTTTCAAGGGTATTTTGGATAATTTATGTTTTTCGAATTATTTTTAAAATATTTTTATTAGGTGCGCGTTGATGAGAAGAATGGATGCCTAAAATTTAAGTTATTTGGATGTGTAGAAAAAAAATTTAAAATTCAAACACGAAATAAGATCGTGACCATTAGATCGGTTCAAATTCAATCTAGGCTGTTGGGCTCATATGATCACATATATAGATACTTTGTTTTAGGGATCCATCTTTGCCAAGGTGGATGAAATGAATTTGCAGAGTTTCCAGCTGAAAGATTGATCTTTCCAGTGAGAACTGGACTGCAGCTGCATATGGTCTTCCTTTCGTAAAAGCCAATATCAATGTGTTCATTACAAGTAGATAAGGTGCATTCTATAATATCAAAGACTTTAAGTGAGGATAGAATTCTTGCCTGGTCTCATCATGACAAAAGAAAGTTTGCAGGTTGCCATCTACTCCTTTTGCAATGTAAAAGTAAACAGCTGTTTGTTCACTGAGGCTCTCTTCAGCCAGGACTAAGAGACCGAAAGGCCCTAACACGCCACGCCCTGCCGCTCCACCACTAGTGCTACAGTTGTACAAAACATCTGCCTCTGTATTCTTGATGGCCTCTTTTGACACCTCAAACACCGCGTTCACATCCAACTGTATGTATATTTGCAGTTAGAGTGGCAAGATTCCAAGATTCAGTAGAAGCGTATGTATTTTAGAGTCCAACCAAACAAAAAATGGATAAATAAGATTTACTAAGAGAGGAAGAGAGAGGAAAACCTGGGCACCATTGATATCCACATGTACAACGGATCCTGGATCGACCTTAATGTTGTCTAATGACACATTGCTTGTTCTCAAGCTCTCGACCTCCTCGATTGGCCATTGAACCAAATTGGTCCCACTCTTTGTATCATATGTTACCACACGGGGGATGGTCTGTTTTTTATGGAAACATACCATCAGCTTATGATGCTAACAAACATGAGGTTGTGCAATAAGTTTTGCCATTCTAGGAATATTGTAGTGGTGAACCTGACCGTTGTTCTAAGGTGGAGGACCCATGCCCACTGTTGGATAAGTGAGCTGGGAGACCCCCATGGATTAACATCCCAAGAAGAATCAGGATATTCTTATATTTCAGAGCCTTAAAAATATAAATGTTACAGTTTCATAGATAAATGCACAATTTGGCTATTCATGTATGTATTTGTGGAACACCAAACAACTATTCAATTAATATGAGTTGAAACCATCCATGAAGATTCTTTCAAAAATTCCTATTCAAAAATAAAAAGAAAACACAAAAACATGCACACACCTGAAGTGAGGCCCATCCCTTCTGGATATCAGCCTGCTCACTATCTGTCTCCCCAATCCAGCCCCACAATATCCTCCTCTGCTTCACTTGGTCATAAAATGTCTTTGAAGCATAAAACTTCCCATAATCATACCTCAATCCAATCCCGACATCATTCACCGGATCATCAGGCAGCCATGTCTCAGTCGCCTCATCATAAACCCCAATTGCATAGTAATCATGCTTATTATCATCAAGGCTAGCCTTCAATACGTGCTTCACGCCTGGTCCATTCACCGACGTGTCAAGCCCCACATTCTCTGTCAGGGAAACTGGGTAGAAATCAACGCACTCCCACATCCCAGTACCAGGAACTGCATGCAGAACACCCTCCACTAGTTTGTAATTCACAAAGTCACTAGTCTTATACACAAGCGAAATGCCAGTTTTATTGATCTTCGAACCAATAATGAGTCTCCATAAGCCGTCACTCCCGAGCCAAGCAGTAGTAGGGTCTCTGAAGTCCTTGGGTAAGATTTCTTGGGGAGGGGTAAGTACGGGATTTCCTGAATACTTGACCCAGTCTTTGAGGAGTGGGTCGGAGGGGTCTGCCGGAATGGCGAGGTTCTGGACTTGGACAGACTCATTGGTGGAGCCAGTGTAGAGCATGATGATTTCTCCAGTGGGGAGGAGTGTTGCAGAGCCAGTCCAGACACCATTGATGTCGTACCATTGGTCGCGAACCATGGCTAGGTCAAGGTAAAGCCAGTGGATAAGGTCTTTGGACACCGTGTGTCCCCATGTGATGTTGCCCCAAACTGCAGAGTCTGGGTTGTATTGGTAGAACAAATGGTACCATCCCTTGTAGTACAAAGGCCCTGCAATATCTTAATGCAATCAAGATCGTTGATAGTTCTAGGTTCCAATATTATGATGCTACTATCTGTTACCTCCAAAGCATGGAAACTCGAAAATATCTCCTAAACAAGAGCCATGTGGATCTTTTTTTTCCTTAATTCGTGATTTATGCTTATTTTGGTGGGATTTTTCTTAAATAGAAAGTAAATGCCTTGCAGTTGAATGGCCACCGCATAATTTAAGAGAAGTATGCTATGGTTGCAATGAATCGGTAATTAAAATACTGCTGACTCGGACTCAATGAGTCACTTAACCTGGTAGATTGCCGGGTTTGGATGACTAACTCAAAAAATCCAAAAATCTTATATGTTATTGATGTGCAGAAGAGTTGGCAAGTCTTGCTCAGCTGAGCTCTAAACTCGGAATCGTCCTCCACAGCAGAGTAAGTCCCAATTTGAGTCTTTGTTTTCAAACATGGCTATGATTCATGCAACAGAAAAATGAGATTCTATGGCCCAAATGTCTTTATCAACATCCAATCAATGGATAGGTGGCGATGGAGAGTAAGACCTGAGCCACAAGAGGTCCCACTCTCCCTCCCTATGCAACCAATGACCAAAAGTGTCAGTCCACTCTACCTCCATCAGCATCCATCCATGATTAGATGGTGATAGACCCTTGTGACGCGATCATAGATTTATCTCCAGTTTGTAGATTCTTCGCAAACAATGGTCGAGTGTGGATTGTCTTTAAGGGGAATTCTGGTGGGAAGCACAATATATTTTACCTTTGCTGGCATTGTTAAAACCAGGCAATACTGGTAAAGGTATGTTGTGGTTAAAGAGCCCTAAAACCAAGTTCACAATAAAAATGAAGGCGGCCATAATTTCTGCCAATGATTTTTATATTCCCCTTCAAAAATATAAAGTGGTATACCAACCAGCTCTAGGATACCGTTTTAGGGGCAGGTTACATATATGAGGCAGAGGCCATAATTTCTAGGAATCAAAATGAATTTTTTCCTTCGATATCATTGTAAACATAATGAAATATTGTAAGTAGACTAGGAAGATCAAATTTTTCTAGGCAAACTTTATAAGAAAGCCCTAGACTCAATTTCACAAAAGTATTAGGGGCCACAATCGGACGATGGGGAAGATCATGTGTTGTCACCCAAGTTAATAATAGGCGCGAACACTAGCTTTTTAAGGACACCATTTTCTGAAAACAAAATGGAAGAGGGACTGATCCAGATCCTCTATCCTCGGACAGATTCTCCAATATGGGAATTGGTCCCAAAAATAATTAAAAAAATTTAAATTTCAAAACAATAAAATAAAAAATAAAAATAAAATGGGTAGTAACTAGGTGTTTCTACCGAATTAGATGGCTGGGTGAGTCTATCAAAATTGGACCGGTTCCCGTTTTAATTAAAAATAGGGTTCCGGCTCCCACATATTCAGGATCTAGATCAGCGTTTTAAAATTTTGGCAAAGTATGCCAACTAGCTGTACAAGCAGACAATAGTGATTTAAAGAAGGGTGTGGTTTCCATTGGATTGCAACCTCAAACAATCCAATTAAAGTGTACCTCCAAATTTTATTATAACATATAATTTTGATGTAAAATATTCTTAGGATTATCTCATAATCTATTTTCATATCTAATTGTAAAATTAAACTCAAAACATGGTTAAAATCAAGTAGATCTATAAACATATGGAAATCTTGAAATTGGACGGTCTAGATAAAATGTTGTAAGATGCACTGTTTTTAGTACTCAAAATTCTTTTCATTTTTCATAGTCATATATCTCGATGTCGAGATGATCAATTAGAGTGATTTTCAACATCAAAACAACATTTTCCGATAGATTTTTTATATGCATCCGTAGTTCTACATTTTAAGGCCGCAACATTATATAAACTTTTTCCTTTAAAGAAAAATATACCACAATAACAGCTTCTGAAATCTCAATGGAACAAAGAGGGCGGGGCAAATGCCTTTTAGGGGGCACCGGGTCGTCAGCGCATTGCCAGCCACAGGTAGGCCCGTTGCCAACACAATTTAGCGGGCCTATGCAATTTAAAGGTTTGATATTTCGTCCACATGTAGTGGTTCAGATTGATGGTTCAGATTGAACCATCCTCAAGGGCTAGACATATTTTTTATTTTTATTTTTATTTTTATTTAAAAATGACATTAATATAAAATTTGGGTTTTAGCCTTATTTTTACAAGTAGAATTAAATAAAATAATAATAATAATAATTTGATTAAGAAATATTGGTCAAAATAAATTTAGGGGTATTTTATTATTTTTATTTAACTTATTTTTTACTCATTGTTATTTAGTTCTCCTTGTAAATATAAACCCATACCCTATAATTTAAATCAATATTTTATTTAAATAAAAAAAATTAAAAATAAAATTAGTTCTAAGCCCTATAGCCTTATGAAATCCCCACCACGTGGTGCCAAAAATGTTGGCAAACTTTCTAAACATTATACGCCGAAAAGTCCTGGGAGGTCATTACAAGAAATGTCTTAAAAATGAGAAACTACACCTAGATCTTCAATAAGGATGGGTTTTTATGAGTCACTCATATGTACACGTGCAGATTAACTTATGATCTAATATTTTAGGGATTCACCATATGAAACCACATTATTAAACCCAGCGTGGACAGCATGGCTGTCATTCGCAAGAATGGACGGTCCAGATGCTCTGTACTTCCACCAAACGAACATTGGCCTCTAATTTAGACTGCCCATGGGGTCGTTGGGCACGTGTACAACAAACCGTAAAGTTCATGTTTTTGTCCTCTTTGTTGAAAGGGATTGTATACTATACTCCCTCGGGAGCATAGTTTATTTCTCTTCAAAGACCTAATTTAAAATTTTGGGAACCACAAGAATTACTAGATAATTATTCCAACAAAAAAAAATTAAAATTTGAGTTTTCTGATACTTTGATTTTACCATCCACAAATTGGTGGGTCTCCATTGAATTTCGAGACATTATTTTTTTCAAAGTGCATAGTGTACGATTTAAAACTTTCAATGAAAAACTTTAATTATTGAAATTAATCCATGAGTTATAGATGTTCTATCCTAAAAGGGTGCCCTAGGAGTAGAAGTAAAGTGCACCTTCAAATTTTACCATGGTATATAATTTTGATATAAAATGTTATTATGATTAGCTCAAATCTATTTTTAAATCTAATTATAAAATTTAAAAAGAGTAATGATAGCGCGAGACACCCCCCCCCCCCCCCCCCGCCCCTCATGTAATACTTTTTCTAGAGATATATGTCAAATTGATGATGATCCTTTTAGGTCTTACTCAAATGGGTGTAGGAGGATATACATATACAAACATATCAAAATCTTGAAAATGAAGGGTGTAGATAATATGTCGTAAAATGCTGAGACTTCAAATCTTTTTTATTTTTTTTAATCATACATCTCGGATGATCAAACAAAGGGTTTTCCAACCTCAAACCTACCTGTTCGGATGGATTTTTGAGGGGCATCCGTAGTTATACATTATAAGATAGCATCCTTATATAAACTTTTTCCATCCCAAAATTTGGTTCCTAAGATTCATTCGAGGTGAAATTTTACCTGAGGGAGGTGAAATTTTACCTGAGCCTGAGGGAATAAAATATCTTTTGACTGGTTCAATGGTTTACTTTTCATGAATAATGAGCCGAAACTAAGACTATTGATCACAAAAAAGAGTACTAGAATTGAGCTCTGGATTCAAAATACAGTCCACAAAATAATTCGAGGAAACAAAAAGAGGAAGAATTCGAACATACCATTTGGATCTGGAAATGATCAACCCGCATGCGTATTCCAGTCATCATCCATAAATATAAGAAGCAACAAGAAAGAAAATAAAGATAAGAAAAAGGCAGAACAAAAAAACAATGAAGGACACACTGAGAAAGAAAAGGCAAAGAGAATCCAGAAAGCATTAGATGGGAGGAAAGTATAAAGCAAAGAGAAACAAACACGAATCAAAATCTAAAATAGAGAAAATAAGATTCTAAAGAAGAAAAGAGAAAGGAAATAAAAACAGGAAAGAACTAGGTAGTTACCATTCATCCAGTTCCTTTCGGGTTGGAAATGGTAACTAGTCACTTGCCAAGCAAGCATGGCGTTGGTCCAAGGGTATGGAGACACCCCATAACCCAAAATCACCGCTTTCTCTGAAACTCCGGCGGATTTACCCCTAGAAATCGGCCGGACAACTTCCGGTGACCCCACTTGTCTGGAAGTTTCTTGCCTCTGATTTTCCAGCGACTCCTTGCCTGCGTCCTCTCTAGAAACAACAATAAACCCAACAACTAAAAGCACTGAGAAAGCGGCAAGGAAAGGCCAAAGACGCCGGGATTTTTTTCCGGTGGCCTGAAGCCGGTCATTTTCTGGCAATTGGGCGTATTCTATATCCTCGGAGTGACGAACTGTGGCCGTGGCCATGGCCATTAAATTTTTGGGCTACGATTGCATTGTAGAAAGAGTGAACCATTTAAATACGCAGAGGGTTCGGAGGAGGAGAGGTGGAAATGGGGCATGTGGGTCAGATCTGGGTTCATGTATGAGACAATGCTGAGTTTTAGAGAGAGAAAGTTTGGGAGAGACCGCCAGTCGAGTTTGGACACGCATCGCCACAATTTCCGTGTTATCCACGGTTTTGTGGCCAACGGAACGCTGTAGTCGCCAGTAATTCTTACAAGAACCGGGGTTTTATGAGTCCGGGATCCATACTATTCTCGTGTGGATTCCCTCTAATATTTTTTGAAAAAATATTGTATAGATCCCTAATTTTTCATATTATTTCATGATAGATTTTTTTTTTATTTTTCTTTCAAAAGACATAAAAAAATCTCTAAAGATTTTACTATATCCCATCATCTCTTATCTTCTTCTTTTGTTGAATTTTAATCATAAAAATTAGCCCCAACAAATCTTTTTATGCCATTTCAATTCAATGTTTTTTTAGTGTGTGTAAAAAGAAAAAAATGGTTCAAAAAATGTTTGGAATGAAATAGTATAAAAAGATTTATTGAGGCTAACTTTTATGGTCAAAGTCAATAAAAAAAGAAAAGACATAAGAGATGCCGGGTAGAGTGAAACCTTTAAGGAAATTAAAACGGAAAGAAGGTCTACTATGAAAAATGAGAAATTAAGGTTTTATACGAAATTTTTTCTTTTTTTTTTTTATAGGGAAAAGTCTATATAGAGCTTAGGATCTAAACAATCAAATTAGAACCTGCCTCAAAAATTTCACTTGAAGAGGTTGTTTTGATGCCCAAATATCTTTAAATTGATCATCTCGACATCAAGATGCATGGACACAAGAAAAAAAAAATTTCAAGTTTTGGACTGTCAATTTTTAAGTTATTGAAGTTTTCATAGATATGCTCGATCTACACTATTTTTTAAGCTTTAGATTTTATAATTAATGATAAAAATATATTTTTAAAGTTAGTCAAAGATTTCTAATATTGAAACCACATTTCTCGACACTATTTTAAGGTGGGCTCTATTTTGATTGTTTAAAGCCTTGACACTATACAAGCTGCACTTTTTTTTTTATATGGATCTTGGATCTTGTATAGATCCATGATCTACATTACAATTATAATTGTGAATGCAAAAACCAAAATAAAATAAAATTTAATGTAATTTTTTTAAAAAAAATTTGAGGTATCATAAAAAATAATAAATAAAATAAAATTTTAATAAATTTCTTTTTAAAAAATTTGAGGTTCATCTATTAACGCTTGTGTGTCAGCGGGCGAGTGTGCCATAAAACACTAGCTCTTCTTATAATTGCACCATGGCGGCATTTGCTCGTGAATTTAAGGCTGGCAATGGGTCCAACAGTCTAGACCGGCCCGGCTCCAAGAAATACTAAAGACGGCCTGGTCCTGCCCAGCCCTCTTTCTATGCTTATGTTTCTTCATTTATTATTAGCTCGGGTCAGACAAGCCTGGGGCCAGACCAAGGCTAAGGCAGGCCGGCCCATTGCCCCCTACTCTAAGGCCCTGCTTTCTCACCGCACCTATAATTTTCTAGGTGAGAGAAACCATAAACATTGGTGCAGAATCTAAACTAATTTAAAATTTTAAAGTTTTCATAGATGAACTCGATTTATATTATTTTTGAAGCTTTAAATTTTATAATTAAAGATGAAAATATATTTTAAAACTATCACAAAAATTTCTAATATTGAAACCACATGTCTCACCACTATTTGAAGGTAGGAATTACTTTGATTGTTTAGAGCCTCGCCTCTATATAAACCACACCCTCGGCTCTATATAAAACTGGGCAATGATCATGCAACCATATTAAAAAACATTGTTAGGTCTATTTGTTTGATCCAAAATTTAAAATATACACTCTTTTCATTCTATTGAACAATCACAAAAAAAAAAAAATATTGAAAATCTAATCTAGAAAGTATTTTTTTAGCTCAAATAACATAGGCCGTTCATTTTGATAAGATGCTTAGATCTAGCCTTTAGAGGTATTTTTTCTTTTCCAAATTTTTTAGATGGTTTTATTATCGTTAGATGAACAATGTTAAAAAAGAAAAAAATGATTTTGAGTTTGTAAATGATAAGATCTTGAACTTCACCAAATGAATGGTCTAGATTCGTTGTTGGAGGTGAATTCATTTTTATGATATCTAAAAATTCAAATTGAATTTTTTTTTCTAATTGATTATTGAGATGAAAAGAGTGTATGTTCAAAATTTTAAATCATACAAATACCGCAAGCATGATTTTTTTAAAAATAGGTTGCATCGTAATGAGATACGAGTGCATGATATCATTGCCTATATAAACCATACCCATTTTTTAATGTGATTTTTGTCCGGAAGGGCATGTGGCTTTTTATTGAGATTGGTTCGAATCGTGAAGGGAGAAGGGATTGGCTGAAGGATACTATTTTTTTATTGATTGCGTAAAGGCCCTGCTCTTGGTGATATATTTTGAAACTACCCCTGAGGGTCAGATGTAGATAAAATATATGGATGAGTTGGTTCAGAAATTTGAATACCATGGCGCACCTTTCGTACGATTTCCATGGTGCGGGGACCTCTGCGCTCCGTTCTTGACATGGACGGTGGATATGAGGTCCCATTTTGCTGAAACTATCATTTTCAGAGCTTTAAATTATGAAAAAAGTTTATATAGAGCTGAGGCTCTAACCATCAAATTTGAGCCTACATCAAAAATTTCACTAAAAGAGGTTGTTTTGATGCTCAAATATCTTCAAATCGATCATCTCGACATCGATATGCATGAACATGAGAAAAAACTCGATTTCAAGTTTTGGAAATACTATATTTTGTAACACATTTTTTGACTGTCAATTTTCAAGATTTTCAAGTTTTCATAGATCTGTCAATCTATGCTATTTTTAAACATTTAAACTTTATAAATAAATATAAAAATATATTTTAAGGCTATCGCAAAATTTCCAATATTAAAACCGCATTTCTCAACACTATTTGACGGGAGGCTCTATACAAACCTCACCCTTAAATTATTTTTTGAGAAAATTACATAAAGCCAAAAGTTTATATAGAGCCGAGGCCCTAAACAATCAAATTTGAGCCTACCTAAGAAATTTCACTAGAAGATGTTGTTTTGATGCCCAAATATTTTTAAATTGATCATCTCGACATCAAAATGCATAGACATGAGAAAAAAAATGGATTTCAAGTTTTAGAATAGTGTATTTTGTAACATATTTTTGGACCGTCATTTTTCAAGATTTCCAAGTTTTTATAGACCTGTCGATTTACAATATTTTTGAAGCATTAAAATTTATAAATAAATATGAAAATATATTTTAAGGTTATCACAAAGATTTCCAGTATTGAAACCACATTTCTCAATACTATTTGAAGGTAGCCTCTAATTTGATTGTTTAGAGCCTAGGCTCTATACAAACCGCACCGGTTAGTATAGAGCATAGGCTCTAAACAATCAAATTAGAGCCTACCTTCAAATAGTGTTGAAAAATACGGTTTCAATAATAACAATCTTTGTGACAACCTTAAAATCTATTTCTATCTTTGTTTGTAAAGTTTCAAGCTTCAAAAATAGTGTAGGTCGATAGATCGATAAAAGCTTGAAAATCTTGAAAATTGACGGTCCAAAAATGCGTTACAAAATATGCTATTTCGAAATCATGAAATCTTTTTTTTTTCTCATGTCTATGCATCTTGATATGGAGATGATCAATTTGAGGATATTTGGATATCAAAACAACTTTTTCTAGTAAATTTTTTTAGACAAGGTTTAATTTAATTGTTTAAAGCCTCAGCTCTATATAAATTGTTCCCTTACATAAATATCTCTTTTAGTTTTAGTTATTTACAAAAGGGAAAAGTTTATATAGAGCCGAGGCTCTAAAGAATAAAATTCGAGCCTACCTCAAATATTTTACTAGAAGAGGTTGTTTTGATACCCAAATATCTTCAAATTGATAATCTAGACATCAAGATGCATGGACATAAGAAAAAAATGGATTGCAACTATTGGAAATAGTGTATTTTGTAACAAATTGTTGGACAGTCAATTTTCAAGATTTTCATAAATATGCCGATTTACACTAATTTTGAAGCTTTAAACTTTATAATTAAATATGAAAATATATTTTAAGGCTATCACAAAGATTTTCGATATTAAAACCATATTTGTCGATACTATTTGAAGGTGGGCTCTAATTTGATTGATTGTTTAGATCTTAGGCTCTATACAAACCGTACCTTTTACAAAATACTGAATACTTTTTGTTATTATTGATATGACCTTTTTTTGGACTTGATAATATTTTTTTTTAAAAAAAAAAATTAAACTACCTATTTCGATTTTTAAAAAAGGGAGATCAGGCTAATTTTGATTTTTAAAAATCCCAAAAATTTTAAATTTTCTACTTTTCAAATGAAAATTTCTATTCGTGGGTGCTCTGACTATTCTCTCTACTACTCCGCCCTTCTATTTGTTGTCTCTCTCACAAAGAATAACCTACCTTACCCACTCTCAACAAGAATATCATAATACTTACCGGATGCCCCAACTGCTACATGTGAATAATTCCCATAAGTAAATTGATCTCTACCCCATCTTGTACTCCCATCTTGAATTGGATCGGATCATTGATACCCTTTGAGCTAAATATTCCTCTTAAGTATATCAATCACTCTCTCTACCGAATCAGAAGGAGCATGGATACAAACCCAATTGTTGATTCACCTGCAACTAAAGCCATTAGCAAGAGAGAATCAGAAGGAGCCATGGATACAAACCCAATTGCTGATTCACCTGCAACTAAGGCCATTAGCAATGGACCTCATGAATACAGATGCATAGCTAAAGAACAAAAGAACTCGCCACTTTTATCCACAAAATAATTGCCCAAATGTATCAATCTCTGCACCCCAAAAGCAATGGGGAAAAAGCATAGCCACTTTGTTTTGTAACCCAAAACCCAATTTTTGAATTACTTCCTTCGTTGATTGGGGAGCTCAGCCTCAAATTAGATTGAACCTTTCTTAATAATACCCAGAAGAACAATGCAAGAACCAAATCCCCTAAGACTGGTTTCTCGGTGGAAGAGAGAGAGTTAGAGAGAGAATAAATAG